ATTTGCTCTTGCATTCATGAGAACACTGTCATTTTTCATAGTGAAGTTGCTAATCTTTACTGGGGACTTTTGTTTGCTGCATCAAGATGCTTGGTCCACGTACTTTGGTCGCTTTTGTTTGAATAAGCATATCAAAATAGCGAGTCTTGTTGAAGTGCTTAACATGGGATACGTTATGAATGTATCCTGTTAGGTTGTTCATTGTTGTTGTCTATTACAATCGAGGTGTGTCTACCTGGAGAGCAAAGAGAAATAAATGGTATCAGTAACTGTGGGTTGTAGAACAGGTATCAAAGAAAACTGCAATCTGTATGTGTAAACTCAAAAAGCAATAATCATAAAATAAACATACCTGGATCGTTGCATATCACATATCTGCAGATTATCCCATAGATGTCAATCACAGTGCATGATTGGTACTAAGGTGTACATTTGAGTTTTTAATTTTTTTGTACTCATTAACTATGAATATTCTCTTTAAGACTAAAAAATTGGAAGTTACAGTGAAGGTGACAAGAAAACCATAAAGGTCTATTTTTTAATCAATGCACAGATTGCTTTGTGATCAGAAAAATAAGTTTCTAAAATGTGTACATGGATTTGTGATTCAGGTAAATTAGTGTAGACATGGTCTATAGTGGTTCTGTTATTAGTAGTAGAACATGATACCAGTTGTCTGTAACTGTGATCTCTTGTAAATAGATTATAAAGAGGAATCTTGTCTTTTTCATTTAACCAATTGTTATTGAAATCACCAATGAAAACTTTGAAACCTGAAATATCAAGGGTAAGAAGTCCGATCGATGCTACACACATTTGTCTAATTGGCACTCTTGGTGACCAATATATGCCTATTATGGTAATATGTGGAACTGTTGTAACCTTAATGATAGTTATTTCAACACCACCAGTGTTGTTGCAAACTGGATATCCAGTTAGAAAAGGAATTTTACTGTACACTGCAGTTCCACCATAAGGTCTTGTATTGAAAACGTCAAGTTGACTGTCATTTCTAAATAGGAATGCTGTAGTCAGTACACACATGAGTAGTTTAAGTCTTTCTGTATGTCCTCAATATGTCTATGCAATGACCTTGAATTAAGAAAACATATCTTAAAGGCTGTTGGATCTGTTTTATAAATTGGAATTATGGAAAGCTTACCCAAATGAATTTCTGCTTTTACTTCGCTAAAGACCAAAGAAATTTGTGTCATACCATCTTGGGCCATACGATCTTCGTTGAAGATTTGAAGCGTTTGTTTTCCTGGGATCCAGTGGTATTTGCTTGAAGATTTTATCTCTGAGTTCTGGAGAATTTGCACCTATAACACTATCCAATGCTTTGATGGTATATTTGTCACCAGTAGCTGCCCTGTGAACTCTAATATTAAACTCGTCAACTTTTGAGTTTTGAATGAACAAACGATGAACATCAATTGGGTAATTCATACAGTGTTCTGAAATGCATCTTTCTTTCAGTTTTGCAATATCATCTTGGGTGTGATTACCTTCTCTCAATCTATTTAGAATTTGAGCAAATTCTCTACTTTCCCTTTGTCTCATAATTTCGTCCAGTTCAAACATTGTAAAATGTTCTTGCCATAAATAAGGGGCAAGAGATCCATAATCTGAGTTCTTCATATCTTTGAACACATAACTGTCCATAACAGGTTCTAGTTGAAACAAATCACCCAATGCAATTATGCTAATACCTCCAAATACCTCTCTACTACCCTTGATATCCTTAAGTCTATTATTTATTTGGACATTTAACATAGTATTGCCTATCATTGATATTTCATCAAGAAATATAAGCTGAACAGCACGAAGTTTACATCTGAGGGTATTTAGTCTGCTTGAGTCAAGAGGTTTATATGTCTTTAGAGACTGGCATGCTGCTATTGCCAAGGAACTATGTACTGTGTTCCCTTTGATACCATAAGCAGCTTTTCCAGTAGGGGCAAGCAATAATATTTTAACTTCATTAAAGTTTTCCCCTGCTCTGGAATTATAATGTTTTACTGCTGCAAGTGATGGCATGGATCACCATATAACTGATGAAAAACAGCTCTAAGAAAACAGTCACCAGCACCCCCAACACCTAGGGGTCTCAATCCCAGGTGACGTAACCGAAAGTTTAACAATATGGTGGAACCAACTGATACTGTAGTTTCAGTGTTGACATTTACATGTAGTTGAGAACCTGGATTTAATTCAATATCACCTGAAGTCATAAGCTTCATTCTTGATACAGAAAATCTTCTAGAATGGCTGCTTTATTTCTTTAAAAGCTTATTTATGATTGGACCGGAACTTAATCTCTCGCTATAGAAAAATTAAACTTATCAAAAGAAATAAAACAAAAATTATGTCATTGTGTAGTTCCAGAAAATCTTCATACTCCCCCTACAGAAGGGATTGGAAATTCCTGGGAGGGGTGGAGGGGTGGGGTGGGGTTCTCAAAGTCCAAAAAATTTAAAGAAATGTATCAAGTTTAATTGGACTTTCCAGAGGGGTGGGGGTTCTTGTAAAAGAATCCCTTTTGTGGGGGAGGTATGAATATTTTATGGAATTACACATTACCCTTTAAATTTATAATTGACGATTACCATTTGTGCCTGATCCTTCTTCAGTTATCGTCAGCATTGCTTGACCTGGAATCTTCAGTGTCACTCTGATTATCTGACTTGTGATCACTTTTGTGCCTTTTCATCTGTGAGCACGGTGGGCTTCCTTCACCTTTACTTGTACTGTCGCTTGACTTCCTTTTATCCTAAATAGATGTGTTCAATATAGTACATGTGAGAGAACAACTCTGCACATAAACACACAAAAAAATGTATGCTGTTAAGGGGAGCTTCCTCTTTTCTAAATAAGTTAATATGGAGAGGGGTCCTTTGTTTAAACATACTTCCTCATAATTGTTTCCGAGGGTGACCATCCTCCTTCTTTCATTGAGCACTGACATTGTATGTGACCGGATACCCTCTGCAATTAAATACATGATGGAAGTTTGAAACATAATAATAAATTTGTTAGAAGCGAAAACAACTTGTCTACATGTAGCTACAGTGTAACTTCTCCAAAGTTAACTTCTTCAATTGAGCATGAATTGGCCAGTTGCTTCACTAACTTGTCTAGTCGTTTTCTTGCCTCTGGATTGCTTCTAAATGTTGGAATACTATTACCAGGAAACTCATTTTCTGTGGCCCTACGGATGCGTGTTTGTCTAATGAATAAAAAAAAAAGAAGTTAGTAGGATGTAGCTTTAAAACAGTAATAAATGCAGCAGTATTAATTCTTGAGGCAAGGAGTATTGGATGATATTTAGCAGTCTCAAAATACCCTAGAAAGAGCAAGAAGATAAATAGTCTTAAAAATACCACCACATACAAGCTTCAAGTACCATGATTTCCATGTGCAAATGACCAGATATTGAATATCTATTGGTCTGATTTGACTCAACACTAAGCAAATGCCTGTTGTTATTATCTTCACAGTCGGAGACTAAAGGCCTTGCAAAATATTTTTTCTTCACATTTCACTGAAAACATTCATTTTCTATGACAGTGATACTGTAGTTACATCATGCTTACACTGTTAGGTAAATTGACTTTGTAGCAGGATCAAGAGATCTGATATCTGGAAGGGTTAGTTTTCCTTTTTGTCTGCCATCCAGCTGTTTACCCGCCACAGAAGTACAAGCATTTACAGATCCTCTTTTAGTGACTAGTAAAAAAGAAAAAAGAAAAAAAAAAAGAGAAAGGAGAGAACCATGTGAGGACATCGACAATGCAAGCTATATACAATACAAGCATGGAATTCAGTTACTGGTAGAAGCCCATGCCATGAGAAAAATAAAGAAAACGTTTTAAAATTACTCTGGAATAATCACTTTCAGAGCGGGAAAAGCCACGTGACACCATGAAGCCCGCGAGAACTTCACTGACAGATGTATTGGAAACTGAAAAGAAAGCATTTCTCCCAGTTAATCCTTTGTGATCAAATGCTAAATTTTTCGCCTAGTGGGGCTAAAGAAGCTTACGGATTATAAATGTTTCACAGAAACCATTTTTCTCCCTGTGTCTGCCTCACAGTAAGCTTAATCTAAAATATTTAAGCTCAATTCTACTAACCTAGTTTCTGAACTGATGAAGAAAACTTTTCTTTCTTCCCAATCGTGTTAAGGCCAAGCCTTTCCATCGAGTTGTCGTTTAGAATGCGTTGGGAGAGTAAAGTAGTTCCGGTTATTTCCTCTTCCACAAATCTCTTCGCAATGCTCTCATCGTTGAAGATGCTCATGACCCACCCCTTGACTTCCTCGCACGTCCACTCTGAAGTTTTGAAAAAACACCACTGTCAATCGGGAATTACAGAAGAGAATCATTTCGCATTAATTTCGAAATTGAAAACTAAACGACAACTTACCAGAGACATTTATATCTGAAACAATAACATCATCACTTTTTCCTTCCAGCAAACTGGCGGGAAAGGGAAGCTGTTTTGGTCTAACTTTTTGTTTCTGTGTATATGTTCGTAGGCTGTCGTTTTCACTTGATACATCATCAGTGTCTCCACTTTCAGGGCTGTCCATTTGGGATGAGAAACAATCGTCGGGAGAGGAAAGTCTTGGTGTTAGAAAAGCACGAGAACGACTCTCACTGTGTTCGCCCACCATTTCCTTTAACTGAATGCTAAAAAAAGCGCGCGAGAATGTTTTTTGTAACATATTACCTCTCTTGAGTGGCTAATTTCCCCGCCTCTGTTCTTTGGACGTTTCTCATTGGTGGCGTTTAGTCACGTTTTCGGTAATTTACATCTCCGCTGATATTTTCACCGTCGGCTCAATTTCAATATGGCGGATGAGCGCGCACGATCGAGTGTTACAGGAAAAAGTTCTGTGCATAATTCGAAATGTTCCTCATGCATCATTCGAAAGGCAAGGGAAACCCTCTTTTAACTTAAGAGGCAATCAAGGAAAACTCGAGATTTGACAAATTATGGCGTTTTGCGTGGATACAACCTGGGAAATTTGTATTTGTATCTGCGAGGATTCCCAGTCAGAGCATGTTCATTGTGCTTGCAACGATTGCAACGGCATGCCTGTCTCAAGAGCGACCGCATTCAGACATCGTAAGCGTGAACATAGCAGTTCAAGGGTAACTGGAAATTTAGGCTTGCACGAAGAGGAAATAGAAGGCCTTGAGGAGTCATCATCTAGTGAAGTTTTACAAGCCGTGGACCAAGATCAAGAGATGTTTGATTACTCAGACACATTCGTGGATAGTCTCGATTCTGGTACTCCTGAAGAAAACGAATCGAATGAATTACACGTTCATGCAGGTGATGTAGACCCAACCAGAACAATAACTGAGCAAATAATAGATGTAATTCTTGATGCTCTACAATTGCAGCTTGAACTAAAATTGTCAAACATTGGATTTGATCATATCTTGGACTGGGGAAAGAAACTATTCATGATGGGATTTAGTGAGCAGTATCAACATTTGTGGCCAAAATGTTGGAAAGATGCAGAGGTACTTTTGCATTCTGTCAGCTACAGGGATGCTAAAAAGTACATAATTTGCCTTGATGAGAGCCACAGATGTCACTTTGGTTTAATGTCATCAGAAGATGATTTATGTCCTCACTGTAACAAAAAGGGAACTATTCCTTACTACTATCTTGGCTTAGGTCCTAAGATTAACCTCTGGGCAAGTGATCCTTTGTTTTGCAAAAAAATGCTGTCACACTGGTTTGAAAAGGATCATTGGCTTGGACAAGAAAATCAAGATGGTTGGGGTTTCACATGCAAAAGTGAGATATGGGATGGAAGACGTTTCTCAGAGCTTCAGTGGTTTTGGAATCCTGAGGAAGAGTGGCAATTACCTGCCAAATGTGATAATTGTGGTGGGGTTGTCTCAGTCCAAGATATCAATTCTTCTCCTGATGGAAATGATGGACAAAAGCTGGTAACCTGTTTATCCTGTGCAGTCACTTTCCCCCATGTTATCCAGAAAGCAACTGGAGATCCAAGAAACTTAGCGTACATTCTTCATTGGGATGGATTTCAGCCATTTGATGGTAAATACAATCATGGCTCTGGAGCTATTGAAGTTCAGATAGCTAATATGTCCAAGGAAGACAGACAAAAACAATCTGAGATATTTGTTGTCGGTTTTGTGCCTGCGTATTTGCTGCCAGAAAGAAGGCCGATATCTCTGGATCCATTTTTGTCACCTCTTCTTGATGAAATTGAAGATGGATTTATCAATGGCATCGCAGTTGATAATTATAGCTTTACATTGCCTAACTTCCCTTCTGGGCCTGCAAAATTAAGGCATCTTATTTTGTGTGTTACTGGGGACCATGTTGCTATTTGTGAGGTTTGTAAGGGAATTTTCTGTGGAAAAAACCCTTGTCGACGCTGCAAATGTGGAAGTATCTTGGACCCTGGTAGTAATCACTATTACTATGGAAATTACCGAAAATCGACAAGGTATCCATGGCCAAAAAGAAACATTCATGATGAACTTGAAACATTGCAATTAATTGAACAGGAAGAAAGAAGAACTGTAGCTCAGGAAATGGCAAAAGAATCAGGATTTACTGGTTTGTCTGTGCTTCATCGTCTCCATGCATTATATGGTTTTGATTACCGCAAACACTGTGTTTTTGATGTTATGCACACGGTTGCTCTTGGAGTTGTAAGAAATAACCTTAATTTCCTTCTATCTAATCAACTTTTGGATCAGAAAGTACTTCAAGAAAGACTATTTAAAGTGCCCTGGACTGCAGAATTTCTTTCTTCTCGATATCCGAGCAGGCTTTCAAGAATAGGGTACTGGAAAGCTGAAGACTTTCAAAAGTTTGCATTCCCCATCTCGGAAGTAGTTTTGGGAGGCCTTGTTTCGGAAGAACATTTTGAAACCTGGGAATGTTTAGCAAGAATTGTTGAGTATCTGTATTGTCAGGGAAGAAATGGGTGGACCATTGACTCCACAGCAATTTTTCACGAAACTGTTTTAAGATATAATATTCTACTTGAAGAAAGCCAGGGATTAACTTACTGTCATGCTGTCAATCATAACCTGACACACATTAAAGAGGATGTGATAAACTTTGGTCCTCCAGATAACTTTTGGTGCTACAACTTTGAGCGTGCAGTTGGTCGCTATATTGCAATATCAACCAACTTCAAAAATATTGAAATAACTTTTGCGAGGGCAGAGTTGCACAGAGAAGTTCTTAAGGTGCGTTCTTCCTTGAAAGCACAAGGAAACTCTTTTGCAGAAACTGTTTCTTATCCAAAGGAGGCACACTATGGATCTCTAGCTGAATTGGAAAATGCCAAACAGCATTTCAGTGATGAAGCAAATCACCTGACCAAAATTAACGGTATACTAGTTGGAGCATCAAAACCTGTTCATTTGTTTGAAGAAGTGCAAAGGAATTCCATCCTTGCTCAATTTGGCCAGGATCAAGGTATAACAGGTGAAAGCCTTAGTGATGTGGCACAAGAATGTCGTAGTATCTATTTCACCAGTGTTAATGGCAACAAAGGAATGCTTTATAGAGTAGGTGAAAACATAATTGTTTCTGCTGAAGATGGCGATGAATGTGTTTTAACTATTACTCAGCTGCTAAGGACAAACGTAAGCCACGAATATCATTTATTTGTTGTTGGAGATTGCTTCCAGGCAGTGATCTATAACTCTGAAAAGCAACTCCACCAATGGAGCAAGGGAGCCTTAGTAAGGCCATCAAGTACTGAAAAGATTGTCCATTCTTCTAAAATCCAGCGGAAGGTTATGCTTTTTCCAGATCCAGAAAATCTTAATGATCCAAGCATTTACATTTGTATCGACTTTCAGAGACAGTGCTTTCCACTCTCCAGTGTTATTGTTCCCTGTTATCCTGAAGTGGGTGATATGTTACTCACAAAGGGTGATGACCCAGACCCATGGAGAGCAGTGGTGTTAGCAGTTCAGGAAAGGACTCAAACTGTCCAGGTGCAGTTTTATATACCCCATCCTCGTTGGGGTAGGCAATCAGGTCTCTGGGTTCGTGAAGGTACACGCCCTCAGCAAGTACACTTCAAAAGTATACTTGGCAGATCTGCAGGAAATTGGCAGAGTAATGGACGAATGTTTAAAGAACTCTAAGGGACATTGCTGCTGTTTCCTTGAAAGGATTCATGTTCAGGCAATCAGTCATCATCTTGGTACAGGTATTAACTTTTAATAACTGATGATAAGAATGCAGATCTGGGTACATACGTTTTACAGTTTACACAGCAAAAAATGTATTGGCAAATGACTTGACCATGATTTTGATATGCCCAAGACATTCTTCAATAATTCAAAGTCAACATATCATTTTTCAGGGTTTTAAATTTCAAACAATGTTATAATTTGGAACTCTCTTGATTTTTATGTCATAGTCAAGTCAAGTCAAGTCAAGTTCCAAACATGCAAACACATTGTAATTGCCATGCATTTCTGTACACGTACTGATGCAATTCCCAGCTGTTGGACATAAACCTCTTAGAGGAAAGTATAGAAATTGTGCATTTTAACATTGAATGATACTGAACTCACTGGGAGTATCCCTAGTATGGTGCTCAGGCGCTTTGGATGTCCCCTTCTCCACTATTGCTTTTTATTGTTGGAGTAAAGTGTAATAAAATAGAAGCAGTCCAACAACCTATAATAACATTTGGGGAAGTTGTCTCGAAACCTAATGCTTCACCCATATTTTTTCCAAAACAATATCATTTTAGCAAAGTTGCTTTTTTACAAGTTTGAGAAATTGCCAGTTTTGGAATTTTGAAATAAACTCTTCCTTTTTTACCTTTTGCAAAGTTCCCAATTTGAAATTGATCTTTTGGGCAGAAGTTTCCACCAATTTACCAAAGTCTGCAACACTATTCCCAATGTTGGGTTTTAAAAATGGGAAATTTATTGAAATTCTTGTGTAATACCCAGGATTGGGGTTTCAGTTTGGGAAATAGTCTTAAAAGTCCCACTAAATTCCCAAGATTGGTACACTGCTTTTCATGTAATAACCAATATTGGGTTTTACATTGGGAGTTTCTTTATTATTCCCAATTTTGGGAATTTGTACTTTTTCCTGTAACAAAATCCTAACTAATTCCCAATCTTGGCATATACTTTCCCACGTAATACCCAATGCTGGGTTTTTACTTTGGGAATTTCATGCAAATTCCCATGTAATACCCGTTATTGGGATTTAACTTTGGGAATTTCTTAGAAATTCCCAATTTGGGAATCAGATATTTTTTCCTGTGTTAATTTACGTGGTTTAAGATGGTTTGTCTGTTTTTAGGTGGTTTCAGGTAGTTTAAAATGCTTTTAGGTGGTTTAAGATCGTTTTTGTGGTTTCTCGTCGTTCCATGTTATTTCTATTTAGATGGAGAGAAAGTACAACACATGCTTCATTTAATTTCTTTCGACATCAAACGGCTTTCACATCATTTGTGAAAGGCTATAGCTATGGACAACGCAGAATTAGGACTAAACTGGCCGGCGAAAACCTTACACTGTAACTTCATATAAAGCCTGTGTGTAATAAAATTAGAAAAATGCTCGAAAGATGTCCTCAGATCGCAATTAAATCAACGTGGTTTGTAACAGAATAGGTCAAAAGATCAGAAAAATTAAATTACACTAACTTCAAATGGCCTGAAACTCTTAACAACATACATACATGAAATTTAGTACAGGAAATTAGTTATCCTGGTGCCTGGGATAAAATGAGTGTTAATCAAGGCCGTGAGAGCTTAAACTACCTTCACTTGGTCTTCCGAAATGCCGACTCTTGTGGCACATGCACGAATTTTGTCGCACATCGCTTTCTTGGTGGAAGTCATTCCCTCGTTGAAAAACGTGGTCAGCACTTCCTTTTGTTCTTCTGAATAAACTAATCGGGACTGCCTTTCCATTGTAAAGTAAAAAGGTCAGACGCGCAATAACCTAATGATCCACGTTGTGCAGGGATACAAAGACCAAGCAATGGGGTCAGCGAAGCGTGCTGAGCAGGGCACTAATATTTAATCCCATACGTCACAGGTTCACGATAGGTAAATAGGCCCTACTTTGACCGCTTGTATGCGTTAATTTGATACTAATTAAATCCGCATGTAAGCGGTTAATTATGAGCGAATCGGGTGCTTTAAGAGCGCGATATATCCTGGGCACTAAGTGGTTGGCTCAACTTGGTTACAAAGCGGAAATGAATTGGGCTAAAACCGGAAGTTGAGAATCACTTATCTTTGTGATACGTTCTAGCAGACAAACAAACAAACAGACCGTACAGCTTTCTGAAAAACGTTTACGAAATTCTGCGAAACCCAAAATATAGGAAACTCATGAAGGTTAGTTGTTTTAAGTTTTGTAAGTTGTCAATTAGTTGCGAAATTTATTCTCCTCAGAGCAGGATTTCGCCTGTCCTGAGGTAAAACCGAGAGAAAACTGAAACAAGGTTGTGACAGCTGAAAAACTTTTTCTAGTGGCATGGTCCATCGAATAAATGCCATAATTACAGCAAACCTTGTTTGAAATGCTTGTGTGGCACAAAACTTTTTAACCTGACTTTGTTTACCCGGATATTGAATTTATGAACGACTCGTCACAATATCGCGACATTTATATCTGTTGTCATTAAGCCTGTCTCATTATTGGCCATCTGGCGCAAACAGCGCCCTCTTTTCTTCTATTTCTGGTCATCAGATGCTCACTGGCTAACCATTCCAAGATATCCGGAAGCGATAGGTAATAGTTTTCTGTCCCAAAAGCTGACCATTTTTGAAGAGCTGAGTCATCATTCTTTCCTTTAAAATATTTGTAAAAATTACCTTTAAAGTGAGGGAAACCTCAAAATAAATATTAGTTTGGTGAGATAGAATAATTGAAACGATTAAAATTTTACCCTAAACGGATTGAGGTCGGCAGACGATTAAGAAGATTGACTCGAACTGCAAATGGAAGACGATTATAAAAAAAGTCATTGACAAAATTATTCACAACGGGTTTACCTCAAAGTGCATGGCGGCGAAAAATGAATACTCGCGAATTCATTATAACGCAACTTCCTTACTGATTGTGATGTTAAGTGCTCATGAAATTAAGGTCTATCCCCTTAACGGCTAGTGGACCAAGGATACATGCAAAACTAGCACTGCCCGTGTTTCACTCTGTTTGGGGCGATCTTCTTAAGCTGTCTTTCAGCTGTAGCCTGCGCATGCCTCGCTCTCCTCGTCGACAAGGAATCTCAGCCGTTAAGTCCCCCTGTGTAGTGCAATCAGTAAACATTTTAACAGTTCATGACGCAATTATGGGTCAGGTAATCTGTAATTTTTTGTGTATAAATTTAGTCCCATGGATCAACATTTATGTCCTCTCTTTAGAAGCAGCTTCGCCGTTTTTAAATGCTTCTAAAAAAATTGCGTTATTTTGAGTTTATTCATAGGTTTCTTTTTCCTTTTTGAATTTTTTTCTACTCATGTTTCGTGCCGTAGACGTGTGGAGATTTTACATAAATGATGAGCGCAAATACGCGTGGCTTCGAGTTTAATCATAAAGCTTTAAGATTATCATCCCAACTGTGTCAACTACAAATTGCGCGAATAGGCTAAAGGGTTATTAACCGGCCTAATTTGTGGCTTAATCGACTGTTTCAACTCCAAACTGTCCGACTTTACCCGTTCGATCAAAAACACTTGTAATCTGACAGGCCAATCGGGACACTTAAGCTGCCAATGAAAATTAAGCACTTTACACCATCTACCTACCTTTACTACCTAGTGAATGCTAACCGATCAAAACGAAGAAACGCTCTTTCGTGAGCAGGTGGAGAGGTCCACATTGAAACAAACATGGGTGGAATTAACTGGTCCGATAACTGTTATTCAGTGTCTATAAAAATGGTAAGTGCTCCTACAAGAAATTTTCTATAACTGAGTTTCTTGAATTTTGTTAATGACCCAATGAATTGGTAATCAGACTTCGCGTCGCACAATTTGGGCGTAAAGGTCCTCGTAATTTCAAATTAGCCTCGCGATACGTGCTCCTCTCAGTTCTATTACCATTACTTATTATTATAATCCACTTACCATCTATACTAAGTTTATTACAATGTGCGAGAACTCTCATTTTAAAAGGCATCAGCTTTTACATTACAAAGTGCGACCAGTACTATTACAAAATGCGTCTGCCTTTTTTGTCACAGAGTGCTATGAGTATTAGTATGAAATGCAACAGCTTTTTTACATCAAAGTGCGAAAGTCAAGTTTTATTACAAAGTGCGTTAGTTTTTTATTAAAAAGTGCGACGTCAAGTGTTATTTCAAGTGCGCCTGATATCTTAGTGCAACGATCGTACAAAGTACGAAGGAACAAACCAAAGGCTTTGGACATTCCTCACTGCATTCACATTTTTTTCCCTCTATATTCAGTTCCTATATTTAGTCAGGTAGGTATACCACCTGGTATATTTTGTTAGAGCATTCTCTTCAACTTTTAAGTGCGTTTAAACTGTTTCAAATATCATCTGTTGTCTATTTTGGATTGGAGACATACACGTTGCCTTTAATTCGTATCATCTTCAGTGGCATTCATCTTCCTCGTTTATCAACACTCATAAAAAAAAAAGAAGAAGAAGAAGGGAAATACATTAACCCAGATTTTTATATCCACCCAAGATATTATCTTATGAAATGTGGTATACTTGTGAGAGCGTGGTACAGTGTTAAAGTAAACAATCCAGATAATACTCTAAGACTTTCCCAATAAAAATAATACATTCATTGTCTCTTGCCAGTCACTAATTTTTTTTTATTCCTTTATACTTATATTTGGCATATAGTTTTCATCTCATGCAATTAAGTTTTATTTCTTAGAAGCTTTAGAAAGAGATGCAGTCTTGTGATTTTTAAATTCGTCTGTTTGTTGAACGTGGATTTTTTATCACACAAGAATAGGCTCCGCGATATAGCTAATTAGGCTGCAAAACGGTCACTTATCACAATTGTCTCACTCAGTATTCCCTTTTTTTGAGTTTTTTTGGCTCCCCATATCTTACAGAAGAAGCCATCTGCCGAGGTTGCATTTATTGACAAAGACTCGAACTAAAAATGTTAGCTTCCC